GGCGGGCAGTGGTGGAGCTGTGTGAACAGGGAGTGGGGAAGGGCTGGACTGGGGTCCCCACCCCATGAGAGGGCAGAGGGCTTCCTGACCAGGGTGTGGGAGCCCTTCCTGGGCCTGTCACAAGAGAGCAGGCTCCCGCCACCACGTGGTTGGGACGCTTGAGTGGGTGGGCGGCAGCAGCCTCGTGAGTCCTGATTATTCTTGGGCTGAGAAGGGAGAGCACGCTCTCACTGCCATGGGCCACGACTCCTTGAATTTGGACTTGTTGGGTCAGGTGACCATCTTGACAGGGCTCCTGTGGAGCTCAGGCGGGTCCACCGGGGGGCTGGGCTCACCTGCTCTTCCTGGAGTGCTCAGAGACGCACCTGTCCCTTGAGTGGGAAAACAGATCCCCTAGCAGGAACCATTCTTTGCACTTAACCATCATCATAAGGGTCTCACTTTCTGTTTACCTAAAGCTCTTCGAAGAGCGTCAATGACCTTTCCCAGAGCTGTGAGGCTTTTGATGTGACACTTTGTTTCTCTCTCCTCTTCTGTGGGAAAAATTAAGGACAATGATCAAGATTTGACAAAAGTGATGGCTTAACTCCAAGCTCTCGTTTTTCCTTTCAGACAGGCCGCAGAGGGCTCTAGACCCAGGCCGTTAGCCTCCACCCTGCCCAGTCCCGAGAGCCGCCATAAACCTCGTTCCGCTCCCCGTCACCTCCAACAGACGCCAGGGGAATTGGCTGGATCTGAGAGTGTAGACCTAACACCCTCTGTCTATTCACCAACAAGTGAACAACAAGTCACTACTGTGGGCCGCTTCTCCTTTATTGTCAGAGACCATTCATGGAACGTCCATTAGAATATGACTGATGTCATTAAGAAACCAAATATAAAAGACTATGCCAAAAAAGATCAAACCTCACAACAAGGAGAAATTACATGATAGGCTCCATCTTCCCTCAGCGTCATGTAAGGAAGCTATCCTCGCCCCAGGTGCAGAGCAGGTGGGTGTCTGCAGGGTTTTCCATGCTGTAAGGAAGTTATCCTAGCTTAGGGAGTAGAGAGGGTCGGTGTCTTCAGCATCTTGCGTCATGTAGGGAAGCTAACCTAGCCTGGGGGGCGTGGCGGGTCCGTGTCCGTGGGGTATTCCCTGCTGTGACAACGGAGAGCTTTTTGTTCCTTTGAGCCCCACTTTGAAACCTCTCTGCCTCCTAACTGCAGGGGGTGGAGCCCGGGGCGGTGCTGCGGAGGCTGCACCATTTCTCTTTGCAGCAGTTAGCGGTGGAGCTCAGGCTGGCCCTGAACTGTGAGGACCAGGATCCTTGAGATGGCCCTACCTGTGGAATAAATGGATACAAAGCCCACTGCTGGGAGGCTGGCCTCGTGCCAGATGTTTGCCAGATGCTTCTGTTTGAAGAGGAGGAGTGGAATTCTGGAACCGGCAGCCCGGCCAAGGAAACACGCTATCTGTGATGCCGGGAGCACTGGGATTTACATCTGCTCCTGCAGAACTGGGGTGCTCCTTGAATCAAGGGTGGAGAGAAGCAAAGTGGACACCGGCCTGGGGACCTGACCCTTGGGGGAGTCTGGAACACTGCCCAGAGAGGCTTCAGAGGGCTGGACAGGCCATGGGGAGTGGCAGGCACTGGGCCATTTTGACCATGCAAACAGCAACTCCTGCTGGCCCGCCTGCTCCCTTGTCCCCACAGGAAGTGTTCTTGTGGGAAGCTATGATGGGTGCTCCTGGGCAGGCCACCCCCAGCATGGTGGGCCTGGGCCTAAGGATGTGAGGCCTCTGCCATGTGTCCCCATATGTAAGAGGGGTATGTGACACCACCAGCCTTGTTGCTGCCCAGGGCCCTCAGCCTGTTGTCCCCTGGTGACTGTGAGGGTAGAGGAGACCACCCCAATCAAGTATTTGGAGAAACAAAAAGTCTGAATAGCCACAGAGCCAGTTAACATGTTAAATTTGCTATCATTTCCACACTGAGCAGCTATTGCAGTCTGGTAGCTTTCTGAGATGCCATATGATATGGTTGGGCTGTGTCCCCACCCAAATCTTATCTTGAATTGTAGTTCCCATAATCCCCATGTGTCATGGGAGGGACCCACTGGGAGGTAGTTGCATCATGGGGGTGGTTACCCTCCCACTGCTGTTCTCATGATAGTGAGTGAGTTCTCGTGAGATCCGATGGTTTTGTCGGGCTTTCCTCCCCTTTGCTCAAACATCTCCTTCCTGCCATCATGTGAAGAAGGATGTTTTTGCTTCCCCTTCCGCCATGGTTGTAAGTTTCCTGAGGTTTCCCTAGCCCTGCAGAACTGTGAGTCAATGAAACCTCTTTTTTTTTTTTTTTTTTTTTAATAAATTACCCAGTCTTGGGTATGTCCTTACAGCAGCCTGAGAACAGACTGATACACCATGTCACCGAGTATCTGTTTCTCACCACAGACCCTACATGGGGACCCTCCTCTCCAGTCTCCCCTGCCGTCCCTTTGCTTGGCATCTCTGGGTACCACTCCTTCCCTCTCCCAGGTCTACTAGGCTCTCATGTTAGCCTCTGTGTGTTCCCACATTCCCTCCTAGACGGGTTCTTCCCATTGTCCCAAACTCATCACTTAACCTTTCTTTTCTCTCAGTCCCTAATGCAGCTGGTCTTGGCTAGGTGGTTAGGAACAAAACAATTCCATTAAATTGATTCATTTACACTAGAGTGTGGCGTTTGAGGCATGAAGGAGTCTGGTGCTATCCTGAGCTCAGGTGTTGTGTAGGGAGGGAGGCCCTACCTAGAGGCCTCAAAGTGGTCTGTAGGGCTGAGCAGAGGAGGCGTCAACGACATGGTGGAGGCTCAGGATGGTGTGGGCTGACTTCCCAGGCTGCCTCATGCTCACCATTCGCCATGTCTTCTCTGCCAGCCAGGTGTGCCTTCCGCTGCCTCCTCTTCCTCCACCGCTTCTCTGGACTCAGACCTCTCCCCTTCCCTCCATCTCAGCCTTGGCCTCAGGGCCTCAGTCTGTTCTTATTTCCTCTCATTCCTTCAGTGCGTTCATGAGTCTGATGCACAGAGATGGGTCCCAAGGCCCCTCCTGTAGACTCGCCTGTGACCTCACCTGGCATGGGGCCAACTGCCAAGAAGATGCCCAGTGATATTTAACCCATTACTATCAGGCAATTTGCACAAGCCAATGAATGGGAGTAATTCAGAGATATTAGGAATGTTAGGTTTAAATAGAATCTTATTCTTGCATAAGCCTGGACAATCTCCAGTTCAATCCTTCTCAGCTCCAGAGGCTGGCTCACTGGGGGACTGTTTGGGGAATGGATTGGGTTGCAGATTTCTGGACCCCAACAAAAATACTCAGTCCAGGTTGTGTATTTCATAAGCTCTCCTCCCTGGTTGGGAGCTGTGGCCTAGCCCTGCATGTGGGGTATACCACAGGCATCCTGCACGCGTCCTGGGCATACACATGGATTTGAATCTCTAGGGTAAGGAGGAGATATTTCACACCCTATGGAGTCTAAGTGCCTCACCCTCTGAGCCTTTGTACACTGGTATTTTTCCTAGCAAACTCATCTGTTAGAGGGAAACTTTTCTCCACTTCTGGGGGAACCCCCAGGGGGCACTCTGGCTCTCTCTGCACCTGCTCCGGGAAGGAGCCATGATTTGGCTGAAGCTTTGGGAGCAGGAGCCAGCCATTGTGGCAGTACCTGCCTCCCTGTCCTGGCATCTGCCTGCCCCTGAGACATTTCTGCCATGCTACCTTGGGCTGTGGTTTTTCCAGGGTCAGCCCATGGCAGCGGGTAGGGGTGCTGGGGGTCCCTTAGTCCCAACAGAGACCGGGAGATCTGCCCAACCTGGGGAAGGAGGCATGTTCTCCCACCAAAGATTTATCCTCCACTAAGGAGATGTTTCCGCCTGGGTCTGCTTCTGCTTGCCGCCTGCCTGACCCGTTACATCTGGACTTGGGCGGGGGTAATTCCAAGGCTGAAATTACCATCAAAGGAGAATCTGCCTGTATTCCCAGAAGAGGGTTGCTTTTCCTGATGTTTCTGAGGAGTGCTGTTGGAATAATCCTCTTTAATACGGACTTCTTTGATGAAGAACATGGAAAAAATGGGTAAAAGTTTCCGTTATTACACACGTATGAACATTTTTGGCCCATTCTTTATTATACAGTGTAGGGATGGGATGCCAATTTGGTTTGCAAGCTCTATTTGGAAATGTGTGTTGGCAAGTTAATGTGTAAGCAGTCAGGCATTCCCTGACCCCCTCGAACCAGTGGTGTCAGCTTTGGCAGATGGCGGGTAAACCAGTCCTGGGAACTAGAGTTTACATCTGGATACAAGATTTCAAAAGAGTACTGAACTTTCCTGCTGCTGAATGCATTTTCAGGCACTTCGTGGGGATTTCTGATACCCAGTTCTCTCCTGGGCAACTGCTGATTTAATTCGCTGTCTTGGTTTTAAATGAGCTGTCCTATTTACTTGCATATGTCTTTGACCACGTGAAGCTGCACTTGGGGAAAGCCCGTTGTTTGTGTTTGTTCGTGACTCACTGTGTGGTGCTGGGCAAGTCATTTGCCAGACCTTGGTTTTACCTTCTGTCAAATGGGGTCATGATAACTGCCCTGCTCTCTCAGTGCCTGCTGAACTGTAAAGTGCTGGTGAGAGCAGACTTCTCATGTTCCTGTGCCCTGTGTTCCTGCAGTGGCTCCCGAGGGTGAGAATGTGTCTGAACGCGCTCTCCAGAGATCCCAGAGTAAAGGGAATGATCCCTGCCAGTCTAGGGTTGACTTCCTCCGCCTCAGGAAGCTGCAGAAACGGTTTTGGACACCATAGTGTTCACATCTCCATGTGCCCTTGCCCCAGAAGTAGCTGGTCTTTATGCTCAAATCATAGGGTCATGTATGCAATACCACAGATCTCTAGGAATAAGTACAATTTAAGAGTTAAAAAAGGTATACTTGCTTTTTTTCTTTGATGGTAATATTCCTTGTGGTCTTTGTGTTTTCAGCAATGTTGTTTTATTCGGATCCAGAATCTCCTGGACTAGAATTTCATCTTGGGAGAAGCACACAAGAACACGTTAGAGTCGGACCGCGGCGCTGGCCCTGGTGCTGCTGTCCCCAAGGCCATCTGTGCACACAGTGACTGGGGAACAGGAACCCAGAGGACGTGGGACTTGACTTTCCAAAGAACCCTGTCTGGTGGGCAGGCCGCTGCCTCCCTCAATAATTTCAGAAAAACTGAGACCATCTGGACGTCCTAGACACTGAACATTGTCCCCCAAATGTACAAGGCTTGACACTTGGCCCAGACCTGGTCCTAAGTCTTCTTCCTGCCCTGGGTCCCTCTGTCCCATCTCTGAGGCTCTCCCGAAGCTGCCCTCCCTGTGTGAGCGTCCCTCCTGATCTCTGCATCAGCGCGGCCTCATTTTCTTCCTTTACGTCCCTGTGGCCCCTCCTAGGGAGCTTTTACCATGAGAGCCCTGGGCTTTGTGTCCAGCAGACCAAGACCCGCACGCGGGCTCCGCTCCTACCAAAATGTCATCTTGGATCAGTGCCCTCTGGCTCTGACCTTCGGTTTCCTGTCTGTAAAACGGGGTGTGTATTTGCCTGTGGGCTTTTCTGAGGGTCAAATGAAGCAGTGTATGCAGAAGGCGCTCAGCAAGGAGCCTGGGCCATGGCCAGGTGTCTCTGCAGCGCAGTCCCCAGGCCAGGCTGCAGTGCTGGGCAGGCAGTGTGTCCTGGTTTGCTGGGGCCCTCCGGGTTTAGCACGGAAAGTCCCTCAACCGGGAGCTCCTCAGCCCCAGGCAAAGCGGGTGGCTGGTCACCCCACAACCAGCTCATGCGGAATTCGAGGGTAAAGGGGAAGAGGCCGAAAATGCCACTGGAAATGAAGATGCCACCAACGCCCCTGAGAAAAATACTTCTGCCCTGGGCTCTTGGTGCCCTGCCCAGCAGTCACGTTCGCCCTCTTCCTCATCTACAGAGTGGGGTTTGGCAATGTGTGCCCCCAGGGAGGCCCCCTGTGGCCAGCTGGGTGGGTTGTGGCCCTATAAGGTAGGCAGGACTACCAGCTCTGTGAGGAATTTGCTCCTCCTGACGAAAGAGAACCAGTGTCCAGGCCTGCACCCCGCCTCCTGCCCTGGGAGTGGACGAGGCGTCAGGCACCGTGGGCACCATCCTTGATCATGAGGCATGAGCTCAAGGAGAGGCCAGGACGACCATAGGGACACGGCCTCGTGCTGTGGAACTGCCGGACCTGAGCCGGGCGCCACCTCCCTCTTAGCTGTGGGTGCCCAGGATCCCAGCCGGGGGGCTGGGTGCTGCCTCTCAGGCTCTGTCCGCTGGGGCACTGCCCGGGCAAACACCGCCCTCCACCTCTCCTTGAGGAGACCTTAGCTAGGGACTGGACAGAGCACCAATCCTAGGAATTCCAAGTTCCTAAACAGTCATGGTGTCCAGTGAGATACGGGGGCCTGGGAAGAGTGGATATGCATTTGAACGGTAAGCACTTACTAGGCACCCATCTGAACCAGACACTGCACAGGTGCTGGGGCCGAGGATGGCCCAGCCTCGGCCCCTGGTCTCTGTCCCACTCCAGCCAGCCGTGACCGGGGGGCAGGAGTCTACAGCCGTGACCAGGCGCAGCAGGTCAGCAGGAACAGGGCACCCACCAGGGGCGGATGGGCCCCAGGGCAGACGGGGGCAGGCAGAGGTCGGGATTCAGCTGGCCAGCCCTAAGAACTGGGCCCTTCTGGGGCACTGTCTGAACTTCCTGGCCGACCCTGGCTTCAGTTACCTCATTATTACTGAGGGTCACTCCTGTCCATGGCGGATGGGCTGTCTCTGCAACGCTCCATCTCTGACAACTGCACCCACAGTCCCTGACCTGGGAGTGTGAACCAGTCCACTCCATGCCCAAAGCCGGGAGTGGCCCCTTGGGGACCCCAGACTCCATGAACTGCGGACACCCTGATGGTGGCCCAGCTGTGGCAGGGCGTGTCCCTGCTCAGGAAGCAGCCACAGGGGGGCCAAAGAGAGGCGGGAGGCCGAGCCCCCCACGGTGAGCCGCCCATGGCTAAAGGCTGCCTTGGCCCTGCCCCAGGCCTCCCCACCCCCGGGGAGATTGGTCAGGGACAGAAAAACGCTTTAGGTAGAGATGAAGCCAGCAGATGGAACAAGGTTAGAAAGCGCTTTGTTTTCAAACCATGTCTAACTGCCGATGGTTGAATTTTTTGAGAGAGAAGAGGTTAAATACAACTAATGACAAGCCTATCCGTCCAAGCAGAGCCGACCACACCCACAGCAGCCGGTCCGGGGGACCCGCCTGCTCCACAGTCAGACCGGCGGGAAGTCAGGCCTCCTCCAGCAGCAACTCAGGCAGCCAAACCGCAGCCCTGTCCCGCCCGGCCCCAGCGGGCCAGCGCCGGCTTCATCCCCGGCAGCTCCTGGGGCTTCTGTCTTCGCTTCCAACTCAGAGCCCAGCAGAGAAAGGCACGCGGGCTCCCTGTCACTGCCCGTCCGAGGAGCCGCCGCAGCTCACCCAGCTGGGCCTGCAGAAGACCGGGGCTTCCCTCGCCCTAGTGAGGCCCCCGCCCCCGCCTGACTCAGAGGCTCTGAAATTGCACATGATGGTGGCGACTCCCCGGCCCAGGCGAGCTCTGAACAGACAGCCTTGGCCTGGCCTGCCTGGCGGGCTTCACTGACCTCCACAGGGATTTGAATTCTCACTGTCAACGCTTTTGGCTTTCTACCTAGAAGAAATTTGGGGCTGTGGATGGGGGTAAGCGCTGCCGCCCCCTTCTAGGTTGGGTTTGTCTGGACCCAGGAAACCCATCAGAAACCCCAGCCACTCCTTGCTCTTCCTGAATCTTTTTCCAAGGCTCCTGGTTCTCTGGGGTTGGCTGAGCAACCTGCTGGAGCCGGCGCTGGTCTCAGGACTGAAATGGTCTGAATCCGGCAACTGCCAGATTCACCAGGAAGTCCAGTCACGGCCATTCCTCGACCTCAGGGAGCCTAACTCCTGCCTGGGGCAGTTCCCTTGAGTACCCGGAAAGTGGACGGGGCAGCAGAAGCAAGAATGGGAATATTTGTTCATTCACTCGAGTGCTCACTCATCCATCCAGGTAACCAGCAAACGCACAGGCAGGCAGAGCTTTCCCAGGCCTTTCCCACCCGGACCTGGAAATGGAGCGGAGCCTGACTTCCCAACCTCGGCAGCTCCTGGAAAGGGGCCCAGCACCTGGTGTCCCCTGCGTTCCCACGGGAGCCCCTGTCCCAGGCCGCGCAGCCTCCGAAGCCACAGTCTAGACCCTGTCGGGTGGAAGGCGGCCCCACTCTCTACTCCTGACCCCACTCCACAGGCAACACTGGCAGAGAGGCCTCGGGAGGTGACTGCTTCCCACGGGCACCAATGTGAGCGCGGGTCAGGACCCCATGCTCTGAGACCCAGCACTCCAGGACTCAGTTTCCCCACATGTAAATGAGAGATTGGAGCAGGACTGTGGGCACTGCCCGCGAGGTGACCCTGGCCACACGTTCACACGCTGGAGCGTGGCTGTCCACACACGTGACGTGCAGGGGACACACTGAATTGTGAAGATCCCGTGTGATGGAAAGACAAAATGCCTCATTAATAATTTTACATTGATCACATGTTGAAATCATCACACGAAATAAAATGTTATTACAAGGAGTTTCATCTGTGCCTTTTTAATGTGGCCACTAGACAATGAAAAGCACACCTGTGGCTTGCGCCGTTTCTACTGGGCGGCCCCGGCGCAGGGCAGCGGTTCTCAGCTGGCTGTATTTTAGCATCACCTGCAGAGCTCTAAAGAAGCACAGAGGCACCAGGTCCAGCCCAAGCAGCACGGCCTGCATGCCTGGGGTAAGGTCGGGGTGCCTGTGGTTTCCACCATCTCCCCAGGGGGCTGGCGGGGCTGAGGCCGTGAAGGAGGGGACGGCTGGGCCTCGGTGCCTCTCAGGTGCACGGAAATCAGCAGCGTCAGGTTGAGTGCTGTGCTGGAGGGCTGGGCCCAGCTCGCCCCTGGGCCTTTCTAGCAAGCTCCCAGGTGTTGCAGATGCTGCGGGTCCTCGGACCTCACTTTGAGAAGCAAGGCTCCCAGGCACTTTTTAGGTGTAATGGCTTCCTTAATTTCTTGGGAGTTTGACTCTTAGATGTCAGCACTAAAGCTTTGGGCCCTGGGAGTGTGATTCTAGCCTCAAAGCAATCAGTTCCCTCCACTGTCTGTAGCATGTACCAGGTTATCTGGGAAAGCCACAGACAACCGTCCAGCTCCCTTCATGTACAGGCCAGAAGCTTATAGGAGGAACTTCCTTACCAAATACTGTGGCCATATCGTCATCTGTATTTTTAAAACTTGACAAACTTGACAGCAGTCCAGAACTTGAATCTAGGGGGAAATAAAAGCCCTGTAGTTTAACAATGTTCATTGAATCTGCATGTGCTTCTCTTTGAATGGATATGGTTTTGTGAGTGCCCACCAGCCCCCTCTAGAGGAAGGAGCCCTGCCCAAGTTCCATTCCCTCCGGTGGGCCACTAGAGACGGCCCTGGGAAGGTTCTCTGGGATTTGGGCTTCTCGTCTGGAAAATGGGGGGGAAATGTCCACCCCCGGAGTAGCTGTTAAGGATGGAGAATGATTGCCCAGGAGCTCTGAGCTAAACCTGCCCTCCTGGTCCCTGGAATCATCCCTTGAGAGGCCAAGACAACGTCTCAGTCCCAAGGATGACTGGGCTCACCCAGCTGTTTTGGGGTAAGCAAAGTAAGGGGGCACATCTCCTTTTGTGAAAGCAACATTTTAACCTCCTTCACAAACGGCTCCCATAATACATGCACCTATGTCAGAGGCGTTTGAACCAGAGCAGCTCCATCTTGAGTAGGGGCTTGGTAAAATAAGGCTGAGACCTGCTGGGCTGCATTCCCAGGAGGTTAGACATTCTAAGTCACAGGATGAGGTAGGAGGTCGGCACAAGATCCAGGGCATAAAGACCTTGCTGATAAAACAGGTTGCAGTAAGGAAGATGGCCCAAACCCACCAAAACCAAGATGGCGATGAGCGCTACCTCCGGTGGTCCTCACTGCTACACTCCCACCAGCGTCATGACGGTCCACAAACGGCATGGCAACGTCAGGAAGTTATCCTACATGGTCTAAAAAGGGGAGGCATAACTAATCTGCACTTCGTTTAGCAGATATCAGGAAATAACCGTGAAAAATGGGCAACCAGCAGCCCTTGGGGCTGCTTTGTCTATGGAATAGCCGTTTCTCTGTCTTCACTT